GTGTTTACATACCCTCATGCAAACATGGCTATCAACCAATCACAGCGTGCGTACTATTTAATTTATTTTATAACAATAGATAAAGTCGAACAATAACATAAAACAATAGGTTTCCCAACCATTCCGCTCCATTAACTATGATGGTACCAGGTATTGCCTAAGTAAAAGATCTATTTCTAATTGACCTTATTTTTTTCTCGGCAGTCATTCTGTACCTTACGGAACATAAAACAAACTGTAATGGCGATAGTTCAATCAACATGTACCACCTACATTGCGGTTGGTTTTTCTGGAAAAGCGTATGCGAAGCATCAGAGGTGAGTATTCTAGGAGCATAAAAGCATCCAATCACCTACATAATTAGCTCCATTCAATAAAAATCATTGCAAAGTTGGTTTGGGACGAATTCCTTTATCGAAGACCACGTCGTATGTACTCGGGCAGGGACGTACGGGTCATGGTTGACAAAGAAGTTCGACTTGTACCGGCTGCTCTCTCGTTCATCTTTTAGAGTGACATATTTGACATTTGTTAGATTTCTACTGACGAATCAAATTTACTTAGTTATCCCTCCCCCCTCCACCCTTCCCCCTCCCCCTCCCCCTCCCCCTCGAGCTCTTTATCGCCCATGCTACCTGGTTAATTGATAGATGCATTATGCATACACATTTTGTATACATATGCGTTACTATAGATGCTTTCAACTACCTTTGTTGATTATATTGAGGCTCTGTTGTTTCGGAGGGGCGTAGCACATTGTTAGGTTATTCCAAATCTACGCTAGATTATAAGAGGGATAATTAAAAATGCTTGATTTTATTTTTCAAACGATAATACACGATAACTAGCTTTGATTTTAATACTGGAAGGAAAGAAAATTTCAAAACTGAAGAGTTTGCCTTGCATCGTTGCTCACTAGATAATCTGGCGCGTTTATTAAACATCCAATTATCCATGTGCAGTCATTGATTATCAATCACATAATATCATCACTTTGTATCATATAAAATACCACCGCACTTATGTGTTTTCGTTTGCTTCCCAAGATCACACGAGTTTAACCGACGATCATATACTGTCTTTTTTCTGGGGTGAGAGATTTGATCTTGATTTTTCCCGGCGCATGAGTGTACTAGACAGTGACGAATTATATTTACATTAATTAGTTATTTTTCATATTTGCACATACATAATCACACATTTTTATAAAAAGGAAATAAAAATTATGCTCTTAGGATCAAAGCAGCTGTGAAATTCACGAAAGAATACAGATAAACTCAATGATATTTGAATGCACAATGGTGTAAACGCAAAAATACCGTTTATTAGCTGTAGGAGCCTAGGAAAGAGAGTTGGCACGTGACTAAACCTGGCGCGAAAATTGAAAGCGCGCCCTTTTTGTTTTGAGTGTTGTGGTCTTTTGTGTGGGATTCGCTCAATAACTTCAGAGGAAGAAGATTTTTTGGAGAATCCAATCAAATCTACACGGAATACTAGGGCATCGAGACTCAAAAATTCGCAAGATAACTTGGTTATTGCTGTACTTTCGAATTGTTGCAGTATTTAAGTTTAAACTTCGAGTATTTGAGGACTATTGAGCATAATTTGTACAGACCTCGAAAGAATAAATATGGCGACGCGAAGACACTCTTCTGGATCTCATGGGCGACATCCTCTGCAATCAAACTCATCACAAATGAATGCAGTTCTTCCTAAGACCTCCGAAGGGTCAAAGAGTTTAAATAAAGGAAAGATCAAAGACAGCAATCATGAAATTTTGAAGGAAAAGACTCCATTCACGCCAGACTCGAGTCAACAGAAAGAACGATTAGTGGCTACACAACAAAGACCACAGGTATACACTGATTGATCTAAAATATAGAAACTGCAAAATATGGAATGCTGTATATTCGAATAACTATTCTTTAGCATATGCATAATTTGTAGAAAATAATTTCAGGCAAAACGGAGACTTGATCTCGATGAATCACCGAGGATTTTTCATTCTGGGTTCAAGACACCTAAAGTTCGTAACAAAAGACGATTTCGTCGGGATTCTGAAGTCTATCCTACACGTATGTATAGCAAATGTTGTTAGCTTATATAAATTACATCACTCTTTATGTTTGTACTCTCTTCAAACAAATACTAGTAGTTGCAATGCTAAATCAGTTTTCAAAATTTTTCTCGATACTAAATTCGATTCACTTTACTGCACAATGGCTTCCCTACATGTATCAATCGTGCCTTGAACACTCAAATGGGTTTATCGAGATACGATCTCGAAATAAAACACATTAATCCATGTTCAAAATAATATTCTCACAATATCTACCAATTTGCTGAATTTTCTCGGTTTTTCCCGTTCAATGTGATCGTGTACAAAAAAAATTTAGTACTAATAATTCAAGCATTGAGGATTTAGCGGGCTTTTCACGTAATCATTGAATTCGTGGCGCGAAAAAAAGTATTCGTTGTTTTCATCTCTTCTTTCGATATAAACTTCTGATCATCATTTTGAAAGGTAGTTTTTAAGATTTGAAAGGAATATTTGGATTTTAACCAAACTATTCTTTTGTGAGCACCGGAAAAAATTATCTTCGGATTTCCTTAGCTTTTGCGAGTACTTCCTTTATTTCGATATTTTTAAATCAAAGTTAGTAGACTGAAACGAAAGCATTGAAAATTTGTTTTAGCACAATATTATGTTTACTTCACTTACAAGTTTACTTTCATATTGCAACATTTTAGACAAATTCAGTTCAGGGAAATATAATTTTGTGGCTCAGTGCTTAGGAGTTGACAAGCTTTTATGCAAATCTTTTTGTCCTGTGTTTAATCCACTGCTTCTTTTCTATTGTCTTTTAAAACAACAGTGATAGCAACATCTCCCCTTGAAAAGACAAGATATGATACCTCACTTGGGATCCTGACAAAAAAGTTTGTTGGACTGATCAGAGCATCCCCAGATGGAGTTTTGGACCTCAACCATGCAGCTGATGTGTTATCTGTACAGAAACGTCGCATTTATGACATCACTAATGTACTTGAGGGAATAGGTTTGATTGAAAAGAAATCCAAGAACAATATACAATGGAGGTAAGATAATCCAAAAATATTCTTGCATTCAAAATCTTTTTCTCCAATTTGAGGGCCAGTCCCTCAAAACAGGATTTTTCGTGGGGGAAAAATTCTTTTTTTTTCTATTATGTCTTGCAAGAATGCACAAGTTACGAGTGATTCCATACGATTTTTTTTCTTCACTTGGTTGCTCATTGTAATATCTAAGATCACCAATTATTGTTTGTAGTTATCTATTGCTAAGAACCACTAGGCAACCAGCATTTTTTCATTCTTCTTTGATTTCTTGTAATCAGGATTTTCTGAACTTTGATGAAGAGATGCATCTTAGTAAATTTTATATGAGTGCTTCAATGTATTAACACTACATGACTGTGTAGGTCTAGATAAATGCATCTCTTACTCATTATGACTTATGTTATAACATATCATGTGTAGCATGGCATCCAACTAATATTATGAAGGTTATGGGTTCATTTTCTATCAGGGACTCGGACTCATTTTAGTGATATTTTAGCAATTCTATGTTCAGATTCTGTTATGTTATTACTAGCATATTCATATTTAGCATCTGAATTAAAACACTTGACATGTGAATAATCATATGGCCAGCTCAGAGTCACCTACACTTATAGCTGTAAGAGTGAAGAGCTGTTATTGTTCTGATCAAAGCAGTGGGGTGTGTTATTTTCTGCTCAGTGCATGGTCCTCAGCCATCAAACTAATTAAAATGTTTTTGTACCTAGATAATTAATGGGTTAGTAGCATTCATAATGCAGTTGATTACCTAGAACAAATTATATTTAATGAATAATTCATTTCAGATTAGTCGTAGCTTTGATAAATTGCACAGTTTAAAAAAAAGAAAGAAAAAAGATTTAGAATTGAAATACAATGACATGTTGAACAGTTAACCTCAGAAAGCAAATTGTAATCTCTCCATTTGTTTTACTCCCTATGCCATTAATGTGTTGTTCTTTATTCAGGGGTGCTTGTCTACACAACAGCAGTCAAGCAGAAATAACTCCCCTCATCATGGATTTACACACAGATATTGCTGACCTTGAAGCAAAAGAAAATCAGCTTGACCAGTTTATTGCCAACTGCAGATCAGAGCTAAAGTTCCTAACTGAGGACCGAGACACTGCCAAATATCCTTTCATGTGTAGTTGGTATTATAATGTTATTATCTTAACAATTGCTTATAATGCCCCTATTTGCATATAGCTTTTTTTGATTGTGATGGCATTCAAAAAGGTGGGGTCTCTTTTGCTAAGGCATGGCATTGAGATAAAGAAAAGGAATACGAAAATGGACCAAATCCATTTTGGAATAATGTTTCCCGATTTCAGACCACATGTCATTTTTTGAGGATCATTTCTTTGTTTACTATTTATGCTTGAGAAGATACATGAATATAGATACAACTCAAACAAAGGATCTTATTCTCGAGGGAATGACACATGGACTGAAGTGAAAAAACATTTGCAAGTGCATAACACAGAGTTAATCAGCTACCTGAGTGCAGTGCATTGCATTTATTTAATTTATGTTAAGTGTACTTACACTGAAAATATTTTGTGTTTCGACCTTTTATTTCAAAAATTTGATTGGATTTTGGTCTTTTCCTGTTTACCATCCTTCGGGGTGAGGCTCATACAAATAAGTCTTTGAACGGCTTTCTCAGCTTCCCATAAATCGAATTTCAGCTTTTTTTTGAAAATATAAAATGGCTTGTGGATATTGTGTTAGAAAGGCCAAGTAATAATATCTAAATGAGATTTATCAGCTAGTTCGTGAGGTTTTGTTTGTGAAATTGTTCCCACAGTTTGTATAGGCTATCACCAAGTACTTCATTTGATTGCTCAAGTCATTGTATAGCCAACATCGCCCACATTGAAGATTCTAATGTAAAAACAGTAGGTTAATACCTGCAGATACTGTATTTTCAAATATCTAACTTTTGTTTCCTTAACTTTTTTCACTTATGCATATGTTACTTATCGAGACATCAGAGACATCAAGAACTTTAAAGATCAAACTGTTATTGCAATCAAGGCACCACCTGAAACAAGACTTGAAGTACCTGATCCCAATGAGGTAAGATCATTGGCTTTTCTTATAGACCTATTCTAGCAATATTGGAGAGGCTTACATGGCTGGGTTGGATTTGTATCATCTTTCAAAAGTGTGTGAAAATGTGACCCCACATAATGATTAATTATAGCGTTGTAAACTTTTATAAATAGATAAATGAATCTTTTTATTTGTACTTGGAAGAAAAAGGCTAAAATTCTCCATACACACTCCTTACTATGTTTGAATATTTTATACACACACCTTTTAAGTCGCATGTTTTTTAATGGAGGGTGGAAAACTGGAGAACAACCCTCATAGCATAGGAGAGAATGAAGCATCAGCTTTGGTGGGACTTAAATAGGGCTCCTTGTCACAAGTCCTGCATTGTGATAGGACGACACCTTAGCAGTATAGACCAGCCATGCATGCTTTGAGAGGAAAGACCACTCATGCATGCTTCCCATGAGTGTGTAGACCACCCATGCTACCCTTCAAACATGCATTGTATGCAGCAGCAGTAGAGAATGAATGCTTAGTGTTAATTAAAACTCAATATCTGTCTAAAAAAGTTATTTGGGCATGTACGAGTGAATAATTTCATTCTAAATGAAAAATTAACAAAAATTTCAGAGTATCCAAATATGGCTGAAAAGTATTAGAGGTGCAATAGAAGTGTTCCTTTGTCCTGATGACAAAGAGAGTGACCCACCTTCACCCATGAAAAACTTATCACCCATCAAACCAACTTCTTCCCCTGAGACATGTCGAGATGACAACCTTGCTGTGGTCCCACAAGACAAAACAATCCCTCTGTCTCACATCAAGCAAAGCATATCTCCTGACATCAGCCCAACAAAAAGTAATGTACTTCTCCAAACCCACGACACTTTACCAAGTGATCTTGAAGAGGACTGCTTGGTGCCGTTATCCCCTTCGTTGACAGATGCGGACTATCAGTTATTCAGCCTTCAGGATACGGAGGGCATAGCTGACTTGTTTGATGCGTATGATATTGCAGGAGAGTTGGGTTTACCTGGAAGTACTGTACAGACATCTATGAGTTTTTAATCTTCTCACATTAATATTGTATATTACTCTCTAAGATATGACATGGGAACTGGAATGCATAGAATAATAATGATGCCATTGTCTATGAAAAACATTGGCATTCTTTGAATATAATATAATGTGACTATTTGAGAGCCCACAGATGTTCAATACATAAGTGTAAAGCACTTTTGGGTAAGCTGGACTAGCACTGTCCTCTTTTTCTAGGGATATGCATGTAAATTAGGTTAATATGGGTACATAGTTACTAATGGGTACTGGTACATGTATGGTTACAAATCAAACATTTTGATTTAAAAATCTATTTTACAGCTTCATAACTCAGCAATTTTGAATTTTTACAGAAATACTAGTTTTTAAAATAAGCAAGATCTCAGAATTTTACCAAACAAAGCTTAATAAGCATAATAACTTTAGATTAAAAATTAGCAGATATGGTCGTAGTTTTATATAATTTGTTAATGGGTGTGTATTATATATTTCTTTGTGTTTGTAATCCACTAATATGGCTAGACTAATGTTCGTAGTTTTATATCATTTGTTAATAGGTGTGTATTATATAGTTCTGTGTGTTTGTAATCCACTTATATGACTATACTATCATAGCTGGTTCAAAGGTACGTCCATGAGTGTATGCCTTGGTTCTGAAGTCTCCCCTGTTGATTTTCAGACATGGGCCAATTGTGTCATGAAAAATTGATTATTGGTTCAAGCGATGAAATAGGCGATATATATTTAGGTGTATGTTATATTATTATTATTGTTATATTATAATAGTATAAATTTTAGCTTGTGATCTGCTGATTGTATCAGCTGTATAGAGTAGGAACACTTAGGCCTAGGGCAAACGTCGAACTTTCCATGCACTGAACTCCTTAAAAACAATGGATATTAGGTGATAATGAGGCGGCATTCTTTAATGTAATTAAGTTCGGTGCATGGAAAGTTCAACATTTGCCCTAGGCCTAAGTCTGCAACACTTTGCACTATTTAGTAATTAAACAATAGAAAACAACAGGATTAGCTAATCTAGCAGTATTTAGTGGTATTTATGTTACACACTTATAGTGTTTGTACTCTAGTACCCCTTATTAATTTTGTAGTTATACTTTGCATACTTTTAAAAGAATGATTTTTGCCATTTAATTTTTATCATTTGATTTTGTTTTTAAAAAAATAAGCAAATGAATTGATCTATTTTCCTTGGCTATTTGTTGTCGTATTACAGACCATGTGATGCCACTCTTGGGAGTAGGTTTTTTTCCTATGTATAAATATTAAAATGTTCATCATAAAAGAACAATTCTCAAGAAAATGTCACTTTGTCTGTGATGGGCAATTTGCAGTAGTACACTACTTTGTTTATGCTAATCCTATTACATATTATAAGCTTAGGGCAGAATGGTCATCTTTGTAGGATTGGAAGACTATCAATTGTGAACAATCAATCTAATGAAGATCTTATCATGTCGTACCAGTAAAGAATAGACAGCATATAAGAAATAGAGGATATAACATGGGCGCGCGGAGATACGAAATTTATCTTCGAGTGTTGAAAAGATATCTCACAAATGAGTGCAGCAAATGAGTGAGAGATTTTCAACATGAGAAGATAAATTTCGTATCTCCAAGCGCCCATGTAATATTCTGTTTATTATATGATTATCCATAAAATCAACTTAATAAGCTTTTTATTATTATAACTAATAGCTTAAATACACATGGTAACGATATTTTCACATGTGAAAATATCAGTTTTTCGAGAAGGAGAAATATAGGTATTCTATGGATAATTATATAATAATTAAATTTACTAGATTAAATGTGAGAAGACTAAGATCATTGGGGGGGAAAAAATTGAGGAAATTTTTGTTGCTCTCCAGAGCTGTACATCTGTGCAGAACGACCATTCTGACAACACTCCACAATAAAATAATGCTAGCTATTACTTGTTTTCAATGAATTAATAAATTTCTAAGATATATAAAAATGTATAGCTAGTAATAACCATTACTTGATTGTTTTGTAAAAATTGTATATAGAAAAGTAGAATTTGCTATTAAAATCCAAACTTATACTTGTAAACAGAATAGTCCCTGAGCTGTTTTTAATTCTTTTATCCAGTGTTTCTATTGTTTTTCGTTACTTCTATTTTCATAAACATGCGAACTTGTTAGCTGCAAGCTGCACATTGAAATTTAGTTTTTCGCTGCTTTCAATGGAAAATGATCAGTCTGTACCTTTCATATTTTTGACTGGCAGTAATGAAAGAGCAAATGTCAGCGTGCACTCACTACAGGTTCACACATTAATTATGAAAATAGCTGTATATTTCCAAGCAAGTATAAGTACCTGCAGTAGTACTTTTATGGAATTTCTTTGCACACAGCATGTCTGCATGTTGTCTATAGCATTTCTTCATTGTGTAATTCTTGTATCAATAGAATTTCCAATAGAATCCTAATTACTGTACTGTACATATAAGATAAACTTCGATTATTTTATCTGTGAAAGATTTTTCAGTCCCATTCTAGTGAAGAAATACTTTGGAAAACATGCAGACATGCTTTGTGCAGTTTAATATAAAACACTGGATTGGCAGGATATTAGGGACAACTGCTAGCTAGTTGCGCACGACTCAACACTTCTTGAGCATCAAATTCAGCCGATCCTCAAGTGATTTATATATACAAAGTGTCCACAGGTGCTGTGCACTTCAATAAACCATACACTAACCAATTAGAAAGAGAGATTTATAACAGTCATTTTATAATACTCTAAATTAACTGGTAAGAATTGCAGATAAATGAAGACCAAATAAGTCATGTGGATGCAGTTAAAAATCAAAATGAGTCGTCACAAAACAAATTCCTATTTATTTGCCGAAATCAAAAACAGCAAAACATTCAACTACTAGAAATCTTAATTATAAAATAATGCACTACATTTTAAAGTTATTATTGTCAATGCATTATCAAGTGAATGAATAAATTACAGAGTTTAACATGGTTCAGTGACTATGTTCAATGGACTTCAAAAGGGCCCAACTGCGAATCTGGTAGCCTTCGTTGCAGCCCTTTTGCGAACCAATGTCCAATGTCTGGCTGATATTTTAAGCCCTGTATGAGTTGTGTTCACTGCTAATGCATTATCATTTCATTTTTTTTCATTATCAGTCTCCTCCCATTACCTTCCCCTTCCTTCAGATCCTTGCCATTCCAAATATAAAATAGTCCAGAACTGATCCCCACTTTTCTCGCTATTAACAACTGATTTAAATTTATATCTCGAAAATCAAAGGAAAACTGTGCGCAAATGAAATACAAAGAAAACTGAGAAAAATGGGTCCACTTTTATTGTTACAAATTATAGCTTACCAGTCTCTTTTCACTACTTGTTTTGTATTTGCAGCTCACACATCGATAAAAGTGGGTTTAGCTCCTGACTACAATAAAATATTTTTAAAATCTTCTAAATGGGTTTGATGGAAGATTAAATGATGCATTATTGGCTTCTCTAATTTTTTCTTTAGATTGCTTCTTGTTAATGAATTGTCCAATTTAACTATAATATTATATTTTACTCAAAAATGTCTGAGCTTGTGAATATATTAGACAATTGTTTCAGTCTCCAAACTGTGGCATGATCATTATTAGAAGAGTAATGACCAGAGTTAAGAGTTAATGAATTGTCCGATTTAACTATAATATTATATTTTACTCAAAAATGTCTGAACTTGTGAATATATTACACAATTGTTTCAGTCCCCAAGGTGGAATGATCATTATTAGAAGAGTAATGACCAGAGTCCTTATCGTTTCCAGGAACAGAAAGGCTATCATCAGTTCCATGTTTGTTCTCATTGTATTCCTCCTGCAGCCTTTTTCTGCCAGGATCATTGGTGGCGTTTCTTTCCCATATGGGGTTGATAATATCAACTGGTGGCATGTTATCAATTTCCTGCGAACCACGCACAGAAACAGTACTGTTAGTGCACGTATCAGGGTTCTGAATCTCTGGAATGCTTCCACTGTCAGAATTAACCTGTGTCAGCGTTGCTTTCAAATCATTTAGTGCTTTTTGAAGTTTGTCATTTTTTTCTTGAATGCCTGCTACAACTTTTGCACTGTTTATTTCATCTGGTTTAGAGATGTCCTCTGGGCATGCAAACTCTGAAGGTTCTTTATAATCTTCACTTGTTCCATTCTCCAGAGTATCTTGTGAATTTTGGTCTTGTGGTGTTAGGTTATTATGATCATTATTATTCTCAATAGTATTGTTCTCATGGGCCTTTATATCTGTTGAGTTGTCATCATCCTCACTTTTTGGGAGTTCATAGGGTTCTGACCTTTCTTTTCCAGGACTTATGTGGTTCATCATTATTGTCATTTCTGTGGCAAAGCTGGTTCCCAGATCTTCGTATGAAACATTCAGATTTAAGTCTGTGGGATCATATTCTAAATCACAACCAACATCTTCAGTGACTGATCCATCAATCTCTTCCTTGTCTTTTAAGCCTAAAATTGGATAAGGTACTGCATTATCTGTTATATCATTATCAGGTGGACCATGTTCAGGATCAAGAAAGGCTGTTGTTTCATTTGGTTCTGGCTTTTCTTTATCAACATTGACTGACGACTTCATAGGCTGCATTTCATATCCATTTCCTATGCCATTCTTCTTTTCTGCAGGATCTGCTGCAGCTAACCAGTCTCGCTCTCTTTTTCTCTTCTCATAACCATGAATCATACTTGGAATTACACTTGCAATGATCATGAGCAAAACAATAAAACTGAAAACTGATATAATAATGATAGTTGTTAAACCATTGTCATCGTTATCATCATCCCCATCTTTTTTCCCCTGACCCATGACATTGGAGGGCCCAGGTCTTGTTCCAGGGATCCCAATGGATGAGTTACTATTGACAGTTGATGAAATAGCTATTGTAGCAGTAGGAATGATCCTCAAGATTGCTGATGATGAATAGTTTAGCGATGCAATAGTAGATGAATAAATGGAGATTGTTGGACTTGGTGTTATCATAGTAGATGAAGGTTCCACACAAGGAGCATTAGGTTCTTTAGCTTTGTAAAGAGCATTGAACCCTTTGAATGATAGAATGTCATCTGACTTGAACTGAATTTCAATTCTGTTACTGTAACTACAGAGATGTTTGGGAGGTTTATTCGTGTTGCAAAAGCGTCCAATTTCAGTTCTTGATGCATTCCCTTCCATAACAATGACATAGTCATTCAAACATTTTGGTCCATTATCTTGGTCACCCTCAACCTCAAAATCAAAGAATGTAAGCTTGATAGCTTTCCCCTTAGGCACAGAAATCAACCATTTGCACAATGAATTGTGGTTGTAATTCTTTGGAAAATTTGGAGTCATTAGTGCACCCTCACTGGAATTATACTGATAGTCACAATTTGGAAAATATGTTCCATAAATTCCAATCAAGGGATCTGAGGAATTGGACTGGAAGCGAATCCACATTTTGTTCCCATTGGATACGACTGGCGGAGGTGCAGAGGTATGATCACATAAATGTCCCAATAGCTGAGACCTTCCATATGACGAGCCACTTCCTCGTATCTCTACTTGGCCAATGCTGCAGGGCAAGTCAAAGTTAATAAAATCAAAATTTATCTTTGTAGATTTAGGTAAATGGACTTGCCAAAAGCAGTCGATGTTTTCAGTTTCTAAACTTGCAGCAAGAAGGTCCCCAGGAGATTGAGGAAGATACCCTCCACACTTGAACTTACACCCATAGAGTTCAAGCTTCATGCATGCAAAATTTAATCGTGCTGTTGGGACAATTCTCACATATCTCGCTGCGATGTTCGGTTCAAAAATATTCAAAACAGTTTTTGAATTTCTTTTATTCCCGTTAAAGACGGAATGATTCCCATCTCGGTTTTGATGTACTTCCCAGAGGGTGCCATCATCACTAAAAGTTATTCGATACTTGCTGACACTTCCTAGACGTAAACTGATCTTTTTTGGATCGGGGTAAAATCCCTGTGTCGCAACAGCAGTTATTAAAGACAATCTTTGCAAATCTACCTGAAGGTAAACCTCTCCACTAAGATCCCCCGCACACCAAGCAGAAGGGCCATTTAACCGGGCTTCGTGGGGAGGAAATTCTTCATGGAACGTAGACGCTGTCACTTGTGAGTCGTCTATCCTATTATTTTCCATTCCAAGCGGTGTATCACAGTCGGAACACGGAGCATTACGCCGTGACTGACCAGTACATGACTTCCCACCGTTTTTCGGAGCCGGGTTTGTACAACTTCTTTGTTTAAAGCGATAAGGATACGAGTCTTTTGACGATGGAATCTGGCAAGAACTGTACGAAGACCACGCGCTCCACTTTCCATCTACTTTCTTGTCTTCCGAACCCCACCATAAAAACCCTTCGCTTGAATGAGCATAAAAAAATATAACCAAAACAGCATCAAGACTCAGTAAAACAAAGAACTTTCGTACATCCATGGTATTATACCGTATTACTTCGTACAAAATATCGCTTTAAAATAACGATGTCGTATAGAATTATCTTTACAATATATTTGGTACACAAAAGTTCCCTTGCTTTCGTTTCCCTGACTCAGCACCCAAAATAAGTGAATGATTTTCTTCAGTTTTATCGATGGACATGGTATTCTCTTCCTTTACAGGTTCATATTTTAGCCATGGTATTCTTAAAATGCACCACAATAATTTCCTTTCAAACAAAATGCAACTGCTTATAACAAGTTTTCACACTGTGATGTGTTCACTTCAAGTCTATTCACATCGATAATGGCCAAAGGGGAGGGGCTTATGTCGATATCCAGCCTATCAGATTGGAGAATAAACAATAACTAGCATTTCTTCATAAACTTTGGTAATATATATTTTGGTCTGAATCGACCACGAAGCACTGATATCAATTATTCAATGATGGAAAAAATTGTTATCAAGTATTATGACTGAAATGTTTGCTTGTTTTATAAAAAAGATTGATCAGGAATAGACATCTCAGGTATCATGTTTATATATTAAATGAACTTTGACCATCATTTGGTGGCAAGAATGGCGTGTGAAATCACACCACTGTGCTGCATAGCCATGCAGAGAAGCTATGGAAAGCTTTTTCAGGCTTTCATGCACGCTTGTGGTGAAATGGCAGGGGTGCTTTCCAACTTCTTAGACTCGTGAAACTGAGGGAAACGTCCTTCACATTCGTTCTTCAATTCGGCAGTAAACTTGAAAGAAATAATCAGTAATATTCTTTATTACCATTTCTTGCATGCAGTATCATAATAGCTTTTCTATCGTGATCCTACCTGAGATTTTTGAAAGACAGCTCTCTCAGCTGATATGAATCGCAAGCCCTCTGATGAGTGATTGGTATGTCTGGGTTTGTTTCCGGTTTTTGATTTCTCATAATTTTATTTCCGGTTCGTTATCGTACCCAGGATGCACTTAGTTCAGTAATTACTGATCAAGATGGCGCACTGCATACAGTGGTTGGTATAGCTCTGAAAAAGAGTTGATAAGTGGCGTAAATAGAAAAATAACAATGAATTTGAAGAATTTGCGATCGCTTCAGAATGCAAGGAAGAGATTGTCTGGATTCAATAGATTGTTAGCCGAGTGTAGCACGGAGGTACTTGCAAGACTACTGAACTCACTTATGGGCTAGGGTACAGCTGGGTTTGACTTGACGTCATTTCCTGTCTCATGTGGAATGTTCATCAGCTGAATCACAAGTTTTCAATAAAATTTTTTCTAACAGCACATGGTGGTCAGTGTTTGACCACCATTTGGAGCAGATAATGAGATTCAAAGATTTTCATCAGCTGATTGAAACCAAACAATTCTTGGTTTGCAATCAATCCCAAGAGAGCACAATAACAAAAGGGATGTCTGCCATGTTGGAAGATATAACAAAAGAATTCATTGCAAAATCTTTTGTCAAATTCTTCCAACATGGCGGCTATGACGTCTATTGCAAACGAAGAATTCTTGGGGTGTAAGCATTTGATATAAATCCTTATATTTAGCTTCTCTTGTTAGATCAACCAATTTCAAGGTGGCTGTTCTATTGATATTTATATGTCAAGGGATTTTGAGTCACATGGTCGTACCCCAAATGATGTGCTTACAATTTTGCATATGAAAAAATAGAACTGGGAATTGGGTCAATGGGAAATAGAATACAAACATTGGAATTCTCAGAGGTTAATCACTGGGACTTGAATTTTGTTTGAATAGTCATAACATTTTAATGTAGAATGTTTATTACACCTTTAATCAAATTTCCACTTTTTCTTCAGGCTTCTACTTATGCTAACTGTGTAACAGGAAAACACAACATCACAAAACATGTTTGTCAACAAGAATTTCAGGCATTCAAGACTTGTACTCAAAATGCTGTAAGTTAATTTAATTTACAATATTATGCTTCAGTATTTAATTTCCAAAATGCAAAAATCTTGTAATTTGACTTATAAGATTTATACAAAAATATTTAAAGTCAGGAAAGGCAAGTATTCTGAATATTTTTTCCTCATACATGGATGAAGATTTAAATATGTCTGAATCAAATAACATCTGGTGTGATAATTTTATTTTGTAGCCAACATGTCATGTTTAAAAACTGTTAAGCCAAATATTAGCCTTTTAGTGGGACTTCTATCCAAGGTTTGAAGGCAGGCATTGACATTTTTTTCAGATCATTCTAATATTTTCTCATGTTAATTCAGTGTCTAAACCCAAATGTTGCAATAAGATATTTGTTTGTCTGGACCACCTCCATCCTCTATCTTCCACTCCCCTATAGGCTTCAACTACTATATCAGCCAAGTTTATGAGAGGGAGGTATTGCTCATTTTTCTTGAAAGAGGGCTTGAAATAACAGACATAGTAGTTTATGTATTATCTATTATTCTATAATTATTAAAAAGGATAATTTTGTTACTTTTCTGGTCAAAAATTTGTCTTGCCGGTATTTGGCCAGTCTGCATGACAGGAGATTGACTAGCCATTACTTTAAGCCTGTAGGATGACTTTCACCTTTAGTAGCTAATATTGCCAGGACATTTTCTCCATTGTAACCAATCTCAAATTATAAGTTTTGGGTTTATTTATTTTATTCACATATATCCTTTTATTATTTCTGCTGTAATCATATATTTATTCTCTTCTTGCAGGCTAAGAAAATCAAGTAATGTTAATCTTTCAGCCTGGTGTGAGGGATACAAATGTTTCCCTTCAAGAGAGACATGATTCTCATTACAATCATAAGAAAATGTTCCAGCTCAAAATCTGCTCGTTGTACTGCCAACAAAAACAAAGACTGGAGACAGCTTTTCAAGAAGTTGCACCAGAACTATGGAACCCAGTGCCTAGAAGCATCCCCTTATCCAATACTTTAATTAAATCATTTTAAAAGTTTAGTAAAAACGTATCTTTTTAATTAAGAAATATTTTTCTTAGTTAATACATAGGTTCACATATGCTTGATCTTATTATAGACTAGTGGTAGTCTTTATCTATATATACTCTTAGTCAAATCCAACTAGTGGTCTATGCTGCATTGTGTAGTTCCAGAATATCCACCCCTTACCATCCTCATGGAGGAATTTTTTAAGACCCCACCCCCCCCC